CGAAGATTGAAATTAGAGATGTCCATTATTCTCGAGAAAGGGATCCACCCTTAAAGTGTGGACGGTGGGGAGAGAGCCCGAAAAAATTTCTTATGAGCTAAGTCAAGACGAGCGTGAGAATGTATTCTTCATTTCTACGTCCATTTGCTTTTTAAAAAACGAATTTGATGTGAAATATTATTTTGTCTATTTTACGAGGTTGAATCTGAGAACATATTCTTTTACAAAGTTTTTACATGAATCGGGTTGGGTCAAGTGAGACGTTTTTTTACCTCAACCCAATTATTCGGGTTATACATTTTTTAGGCTCAACTCAAACAACTCTTATTAAATAATAAACGTATATTTTTTTTACTGTAAATTAAAAAAAAAACAAATTTTAGCCATCTCTTTAAAATAGATGAAAAAAATCTTATTAAATTTTAAATTTTTTTAATTACATAAGAAACATATTAGAGCCATAAAATATTTCATGCCCATTTTTTTTTTAACTATCTCACATAATAAAATAATGTATTAAATTATTATTTTAGTTTTCTTATGAAAACAAAAAATCAATTATTATATTAATTAAATTATAGTGTAATTAATTAATAGCTCTGGCTTCTCTCTCGTAAAAATGAATAATTAAAATTTTAGATTAAATAGTTATATAATATAAAATAATAATCGTAAATGTATTAATTTATATTAAAAATTAACTAAATAATAACCATAATCAACTAAAACACGACGATTAATCAATATATTGTAACCTAAAACAACGTGACAGTGATTAAGACATTCGAATAGACAAAATTCAAAAGAATAAAATTCAAACACGTTGACTTTTCGTCTCATCCTAATATGTTTTTTATTAGTTAAAGATAATATTACAATTTTTGGAATAATACATCAGAATTAGAATAATATTATAAAGACGTTTATTTATTATATATACACCTAATAAATAAATATATTTGCACGCGAGAAAGACTATTAGAATATTGAAGTTCGAGATTTAAAGAAATATTATTAGATTTATTAAAATATTTTAGAGTTTGAAATAAAATTTAAATTAGAAAATAAAAAACTATATATTATAAATTCATTTCTAATGAATATTCACTATTAAAAACCATCACATAATCTGGAAAAATAAATAAAAGAATTATATATATATATATATATATATATATATATATTTATTTATTTATTTATATAAGGTCCCCATCACCAATTATCTGTTTACTTCATTAAATAAACTGACAAATAAAAATACAAAACAAAAACAAAAATAAATAAATAAATGGTTCGATGAAGTGACACATCAGGGTCAGATGGTTCCAGGGAGTTCCACAGTGTAAATAATAATAATAATATTATTATTATTATTAGATTACGAAAAATTATTATTTTTTAAATAAATAATAAAATACGACGGACGGTCGTGAATTTGAGGGGCAATAGAATGAATTGGGAAATTTTCTAGTCCTACGCAAGTAGAGACTACTTCGTACGTCCTCTTTTCTATGGCCGCCACGTAGCTTCTTCTTCTTCTAAATTAAAATTACAACGGATTGATGTTTTTATTAATATTATTATTTATGTTGAAGTATTATTTTTTAATGTTATTTAACCATTTTTCTTCTAATTTATTATTATTAATAATACAGACTCGAATATGTGAGTTAGTCATTAATTTTACTAATATACGTACGTGTGTATATATATATATATATATATATACACACAAATAAAGAAATGATGAATTAATAAGATTTTATGTCCGTACGGTCAGTCTATCCACGTCAGACTCTTGTGTAATTTATTTTCAAAAATTTATTACTAACGTTTGGCTAGAGAATTTAAAAAAAATATTTAAATACGGGTAATTTAAAATAAAAATATTATATTAAATTATAGATTCTAAAGTTAAAAGGTAGTTTCTTGTTTTAGAATTTAGAATTAGTCCATCAACTATACTAAATTTTTATAACTAATTTTATCCACTCAGTAAATTTATAAATGGTTATTAAATATTTTTAAATCGTAGAGATCAAATTTACAATTTAACTATTGAATTATAAAGAATGGATGAGCTGAATTTAACAAAGAGCTTCTTAAATTTTGCAATTCACGTTTTTTAGTTGTACACCAATGACATTAAAATACATGGATCATACTATTTTACAAGCGTTCGATTCTCGAGCCAATAACTTGTTCTTTATGACAATAGTTTTGATCTTAAGGTAATCTCGTATCAAACTTAATTCTTGGGTTGATATATAATTGACTAGAAAGTTTTAGTGTTTCTGGATCAAACTCACGTACGGTCAAAGTTTGATCTTACATAGAAATGAAATTGGTAAAATTTGAAGTCAATTATTTAGAGCGATAAAAATTTAAATTCAACATATGAGCCAAAATTGCCAAAGTTTTGAAAAAATGGTATAAAATCTATCATATATACCCTACCAAAAATTGCATTGGATCAGACTGAGGCATAAGAGACTATTCAACTGAGAGCAGACAGGCACTGGGTAGCCCCTATTTGAATACACTTTTGCATCATTTCCAAAACTCCATAAAAAAAAAAAATTAAAAAGATGCCAAAACCCTAAAAAGAGAGAGAAAAAAAAAACACAATATTATATTATATTATGAAAAGTAAGAGCTGCCCGCCTCTGCCTCTGCCTCTGCCCCTGCCCCCTGCCCTTGACCGCCTTCCTACTAGAGTATTATTCATTTCATGTTTAAAATCGGCAAAACGACACCACTTTGGACTTCATGGAAAGAGACAGCATCTCAACATGCTCCCACTCTTTTAGGTTCTTTCCTCGCTCACGCTCTTACTCTGCGCGTGTCTTTCAAACGCCATTTCTATTCAATTTAAAGTTAATTGAAAGGGGGGGAAAAAAAAATACACAAAATTACATATTTACATGGACCTCAAAACGGTGACGTTTTTTTATCCTACCAATTTGGATTCTTGGGAAATTTTTGCTTCCAAAATAGGAAATTCTTCATCTGCGCTGGCGATTTCCCGTCAGGTTCGAGTGATCCGGTTTCTGCAGTGCTGCCTCGTCTGGCCTTTACCGCCGCCGCAAGTCACTTCGGTCCTCTTCTGTGGCGAGGAAAACAGCTGGCTGAACCCGAACATCGACCCCGATGATTTCGATGAACCTCTCAGCGAGCTCACCGGGACGTTTAACACCGGCGGAACTCTCACATTCGCGGAGTATGACCTCTCGATGCCGTTGTGCTTCAATCTCGGTCCGCCATTGAAGCTACTCGGACTACTCGAACTCCTTTCTAGACTCTGAAACACTATTTTCCCTGAGGAGTTCATTCTAGGACTATCCATGGATACTTCTCTGCTCTTCACTCTACCTGATTCCCCTGGAGTCCGACGGACCGGGCTCCGCCCTATTCTCTTCGCTTCTGATTGCGATACTCTCGTCTTCACCAGATTTATCCGATTCTTGTGTTCTTGATTGAATTTTGATGGCTTATCGAAATCGAGTGAGAGTCTAGGGAGATCCTCGTGCGAATGGCCAGATGATGAAGAAGAAAGAGAGAGGCGAGCAGAGGATAAGAAAACTGATTCGTAATCCAAATCCTTCAGTAACGGATGATATAGGGCATCTGTGGACTCGGAGGACACGAGTTTCGAATTCCTGTGAAGAAATTGCTTCAGAGATTTCATTCTATTGCTCGATGAAGACAACTCCGTCTTCGGATTTTCGTTCTTCGCGGATGTGTTAGTCATCTGAGTAGCCTTTTTTAGCCCTAGAAGCTCTCTCCACCGACTCGAGCATCTAGGAGCGCGAGGAGAGAAAGAGTACGGATCCGCACCATCGATTTCCGTTACTCTACGCGGCGTCATTGTATCAGGCGACCGCAAACCGATCTCCGTCGAGGAGAGTTTCTTAACCGACGATTTCACCGATGAAATCTGCAGCGGCATAAGCTTTCCGTCGAAGAAAAGCTCATCAGCAGGAATCAGAGTAACCGGATCTTCAAGCCTAAACTCAAAATCACTGGATGAACCTTCTAGATCTGTACCTAAAATCGCCGGCTTACTCGTCTGAGGAGTATCAGCAATGGCAGATGGACTGAGCTTAAAGCCTGAGAGGTTAGCAGACGAGTCGTCTGGATACTCGCGGCTGAAGGATGCGCGAGGGCTCAACCAACCATAAGAAGTGTAGGCGGTACGTGAGCCGTCGAGGAAATTCTCCGGCTGTATTCCAACGTTGTTGACGCACGCAGAAGCCATGGATACCGGCGATCATGCAGAGCTCGAGATTCAGCGCGATTGGAGTGAACTGAAGAATGAAGGAGGAGCGTGTTTTCTCGACTTATACGCACAGTGTTAGGTTTTTTTCTTTTTCTTTTTTAATAATTTTTTTTTAACCTTTGTCCTCAAAATTTAAAATAATTAGATTTAAATTTTAAAATATATAAAACAATTTAATCTATCCAACATAATTAAAATATTAAATATATAATTAAAAAAAATCTGATTTAAATATTTATAAAATGAGATTTTGTTTTTTTATTTATTTAATAATTGTTTTGTCTATATTGGACAAAATGCTGCAATTTCTGTCCAATCAAAATTTTAAAATTTGGCGTAGGTTAATTATTTTAATTTAACAATAAAAAACAATAAAGAGTCACGTGTTATTCGCGTGTAATATCTCTGTTTTTTACTTTTTCGTGAATTTTATTTATTTTTTTCCCACTTGTAAATACAATAATAAATTAATAGAAATTGTAAGAGCCTTAAATAATAAAATAAAATAAAATGTAATTTTATTAATTAAATACAAGGGTATTTTGGTCAGAGGAAAAATATAATGGGCCTAGCCCATGTGTATGTTCTGGACACCGTCCGCATGGAAAGCCCGGCCCAGCTACCTCGAAATCATGCATTTATTCAGATTAAAATAAAATAAATTAATATCTTAGGATTAAAATTGTTGCTATTTTAATATTTAATTAACCTTTCCGGCCTGGAATCTTGAGGCTGATCTCCATCTCCGACGATTCCACCGGCGACGACGAACAGTTCGTGAAGTTTGGCGAGACTGTGAACTACGGTAGGTGGCAGTTTCCTTTTTCCGTACTTCTGATGTGATTTCTCTCTGGAATTTGGTTCTCAATCTATGCTTGTATTACTCCATTTTTGTTTGTTTGTTTGAGTTTCAATGGAGGTTAATCTCGCGGAATTTTTCATATCACGGAGTTACGGCCTCAAATTTGTTTTTGAAAAAATCGAGTGATCTCGGTTCAAGAATTCCAGAAATCGAGCATTTCGTTCGTCGTGCATTGTGTTAATTGTTCCAATATTATCGTAGCATTTGGTGTCGATTTTTCTTCTTCCAGACATCTCTTAATATTGTCAGTTTCTTGCTTCATTGATCACTTTTCTTGAGGCAAAATTACAGCAGAGTAATTGTTTGTTGCTCGGCATTGACTAGTTTCTGTTCTGGTCTTTAATATTTCGCGATTGAAACTGCATATTAGTTCCGTTTCAATTGTAGTAGCTGCGATCTTAACTTTATGGTGTTTCTAGACACTTATTAGATGCTGAAATCGTGGAAGCTATTTTCATTTTATCTTTGTTGTCTCACATTATTGACGCACTATACTGGTAGCTAACGAACTTACAGATGGGCGATTTTCACTGTGAATAATGAACTTGGTGATCTCTTTCAGAAATTGCAAGGGATGCACAGTCTGGAGAAAGTGCACGATGATTCTGCCAACAAGGACAGCAAAGTCTCTGCTGAATTGGAGCCTTCTATTAGTCCAAATGGTGATATCGAGGAAGAAAATGATATTGCAAATATGAATTTGGGAGACTCTAATGCTCTAGCAAATGGGCTCTCTTCCATGCTTATGAACATCATGAGGGATTTTGACTCCAAAGCTGATGATACTCTTAAAAGCCAAAGCCAGCTTTCATTTTCCCTTGACCGACTTACTTCAGGTATGATTACATTTACTTTGTTTTATTAGTTTTATCATATGAAATAGAATTTCTTCCTTTGTCCAATAATATAGTTCAGGGGAAGTGTATAGGTAAATGATATTCTCTCATAATTTACCTTTTTTCTTGTCATAGATGCAAAAATGAAGCTTCTGAGTTACATGGTTTTTTCAATGGTATAAAAAGATATTATTTTAACTTTTAACAGAACTGGATCAATTACTTGAAGATGCTCCTTTTCCATTCATCATGCAGCATGCCTTGAGGATTTCTAGTGTAAGAAAGAGAGTGTTGTCTCTAAATTCCATCTTAAGATCCGTACAACGAAGAGTAGATAACATAGATCGGGTGATCTCGATGAGTAATTTACCAGGTGATTGACTTCTCCCTTCAAGGGCCTCAATTTTGTTGTCTTTTATGGCTTTTAATTTAATGGAAACTTATTGAATAATATCATTGGCTGTCGAGGCTTGTTCAATAAAGGTCCTTATTCTCTCCATTCTATTGGAGAAGGAAAGGTGTTATTCCCATAAAATAATGACAAGAAGAACCAAGGGCAACTCAAAACTTCAATAAAGATCCTTGTTCCTGGCATTCCCTATATAATTCTTTTTGCAGTTATGTGGGCTATTTTTGTTAGCTCCTAATTGTCAGATTTTATACGCAACTTTTCACTACATTATTTATTGAACTGTGTGGAATCAATATATTCATTTGAAAACCTCTGTTGTGACTTCTTATGGAAGATTTAAAACTTTCCCCTTAACATGTTGCACAAAGAGGATTTAGTGACGATTTTAAACCTACAAATAAGGATCTTTTACTTTTGAATAAGAGGTGGAATTGAGGTATCGATTGCAAAACCTCAGCTGTTCCTTCTCTCAGTGCCTCATTCGAATATCATATGATTTTTTTTTTTTTTTTTTTGTACACATGCATTTGGATTTGTACCTAATGTGGCTCTGCCCACCAATTCTGGCATGTTTCTTCGTTGAATGAGACCAACGTTTTAGTTTTTGAAAATTCTAGGCTAAGAATCTATTCTCTCGTTCAAACATAGTGCCATGATTTTTTTAAAGCCATGCCTCTGAGGTCATAAATCATGATTTTGTTTTGCTTTCTGAATTGCATTTGGTGATGCATCCATGGGACAAATCATTTTGCTTCCTTACAGAATAGTCTTGATCTTGACAACTTGATTTCTTTCTTTATTGTGCTTCTTTTTTCAAATGTTGATGACACATACTTTCCATGAGATGCTGTAATAAAATTCACTTATTATAAGTAAGTTTTTGTAATTGAATTTCCTTTAGTTTCCAGACATTCGAATATCTATGTATGTAGGTTTTCTTCTGGGAACAAGAAACAAGTACGTAGGATGTTGAAATTTCACATATATTCACCCCCGGGTAATTTCCATAATAGCTGAAGTAAAAATACTTGTAGTGCTTTCTACCTTATCCTTTCTTGAATGTACTTGTCTGTCCCCTGCCTGTGCTATTATCTCTCACAGTCTGACAACCTTTCTCTTGTCCCTCTCTCTGAAGCTCTGGAGACGGAAGAAGAGAGAGAGAGAGAGAGAAATAGGGAGTAGCACCAAAACAGATGGAAGTTGACTGGTGGAGGGCAGTAGGGTTTGACAATGGGGAAAAAGATTGATTTTGGAACTTAGTCGAGGAAATATGGTATTTACATTTTTAAAATGCTGTATATGAAGAATGAAGTAAAATTTTGAAGTGACTCCAAATGGAAGTTTTATGTATGAACTCCCATAATGTCACGAGATACTTAAGGTCCTAGTGGACTATTTAAGAGATATTACTCTACTAGAATATCAGTGCCTTTGTATTTGTGTGTCTGGGTCACCTTGCGTGTATCTTGACTAATCTCATGGCACAACCATCTGACCGTACTACACTTGGTTGCCAAGGAAACTCTTAAGATGTTAAATGCTAGGTAGATGACTACCATGATCGTAACTATATATATATATATATATTCTCTCTTCTCTCTTTTCTTTTCTTGAAGGGGTGGACATGAAGCGGTGTGCCAGCAAGGACGTTGGGCCTTGATTGGAGAAGGGGGTGGATTGGGAGGGTCCCACATCGGTTGGAGAAGGGAACGAGTGTCAGCGAGGACGCTGGGCCCTGAAGGGGGGTGGATTGTGAGATCCCATATCGGTTGGGGAGGAGAACGAAACACCCTTTATAAGAGTGTGGAAACCTCTCTTTAGCGGACACGTTTTAAAAACTTTGAGGGAAAGCCTATAAGAGAAAGCTCAAAAAGGATAATATCTGCTAGTGGTGGGCTTGGGCTATTACACCTTCCCTTCCCTTCTCATCTCATTACTTCGCTTCTCATCTCATTACGTTGTGTGATATAAGTTCTAGCTTCATTGGCACAGCTCGCACGGATTACCCTAGAATGAAAAGTGCTCCTTCAGATTGGTGTCTCATAATTTGGATCCTCACTTTATAGACGAATTGCTTGTTTTCTGATTGACAGTCGTCCACAACCAGTGGGGGGAGTAGGCATTCATTTTGTGGCTCATTTGGCTGATTGTCTATGCGTTAACATTGCAATATATTTATTATTTATTTCCTTGTATCATTGTCACTAAAATATGCCTGTTCTCTACAGATATTCGTTCCTCTCAAAGTTCCTCGCAACCTCATAATGGTTGATCAAGTCGGGAATTCCAACTATTTGTTTAATTGATACAAATTGGGACTCGGATCTCTCAGATATTATGATGATTGTACGTATCTGCTGTCCCTTTTGTGTATTCATTTTGACTACTATGCTTGGAAATACTGTGATAGAAAAACTATTTGTGAGTATGAGTCCTGTTTCTGAAATCAGGTGGTTCTTGCAGATTATTTTAACCTGTAAGTTGCTGTGTTCTGTTTTGTTTTTAAGAGAGTTTATTAAAATAAGAATTTTCAAATGATCGAGTCATAATAAAGTGATTTAAATGAAATAATTTTAAGCTACGATGGTTACACGAGTTTTCTTGATAATCTAATGTCGTAGAGTTATACTACACGGTTGTCTTGTGAGATCAGCTTAAGTGTATTCAGGCTATCAGTTGAAAAAAAATTCCCATTTCCTATTTTAGTTGATTAAAAAAAACTTTATTAGAAATACCAAGTTTATGCAGATCGGTTAGTCCCGTTCGGCACAAGAGCGCTCAATCAGTGAGCTATTACGCACTCTTTCAAGGATGGCTGCTTCTAGGCAAACCTCTTGGCTATCTCTGCACTCCTACCTCCTTTATCACTGAGCGGTCATTTAGGGGCCTTAGCTGGTGATCTGGGCTGTTTTCCTCTCGACCATGAAACTTATCCCCCATCGTCTCACTTGCTGACCTTGACCCTGATGAAACTTATCTCCCATTGTCTCACTTGTTGACCTTGACCCCTGTTGTTTTGAGATGATAATTGACAACCATGGTTTTTTTCATTAATTTTTTTAATTACCATTAATTTTTTTAATATAAAATTAATTTGATAAATTTTCAATTAGGTATTTAATCTAATTTTCTTACGATTTAAATATAAAATTCCATAACCTCTTATACTTAATATTGAATTTCTTACTCATTTGCGTGAAAAACAACATTTTAAATCTAATTTATATCATATAGTTTTAGTTTTCGAAGTACATATATTCTTAATCCAATAAATTAAAAAAAAAAATTGTTTTCGAAAAGACTAAAATAACCTTCTGACTCGGTCGACCTCCACTAGTGAGGTTTAGGGTTCTGATCGCCACTATAAATGAGAAAGGTGCCTACAAGTTTATCGTTTCAGTTCATACAATTCATCGACGAAGAGAGGATAAAGATCGACCTGCCACTGTTTTTCTGAGACAAAGTTCGAGTCTGTTCTCCATCGACAATGAGAGCCAAGGTTCATCTTCCTAATTTTCTTCATCTTTCGTTATCACTGTTTCCTATTCTTTCATTTTTCTCATTTTTTTTTTGTGTATGCTTTGAGGATTTAGTTGTTTTTGCCTCGATTGGAGTCGGAAAGTGTGATCGAAGTTTTGTCAGGTTTGATAACTGGATGCATTTTCCTAGCTGTGTTCGTGATTCTCACTCTTTGCGAGTCGGCAACTAATGTTCTTAGGGTTTATAACTTTGGAAACGGGATTAGGGTTTTTTGCTATTATCCTTGGATGTACTTTCCTATTTGTGTTTGTTCCTTCCATGATCCTGAATCTTAAGTTACTTGTCATTGTTCGCATACCGGCTGGGATTTCTTACTGTTTTGTTTTTTTTTTCTGTTTTTTTTATTTGATCAAACGTTATCGTTAGTTCTATTAATTTTCAGTGTAAACCTCTCGGTAGAATCATAGGGGTATGTTATCCACTCGAGGCCGGAATAGTGTTGTAGGTTTAGTATTCCTGACCAAGATTAAGATGGTAACGACCCTGACCCAAGCTCACTGCTAGCAGACAGATATTGTGTTCTTTTGAGCTTTGGCTTCCCCTCAGCTTTAAAACTAGCATGTTAGGAGAAAGTTTCCACAACCTTATAAAATGTTTTGTTCTCCTCCCCAACCAACATGGGACATCACAATCAACCCCCCTTCAAGGCCCAACGTCCTCGCTGGAACTCGTTCCTTTCTCCAATCGATGTGGGACCCCGACTGTGGCACATCACCTCGTGTCTACCCCCTTTGGGAATAGTGAGAAGGCTGGCACATCGTCAGGTGTCTGGCTCTGATACCATTTGTAACGACTCTAGCCCAAGCCCACCGCTAGCAGATATTGTCTCTTTGGGCTTCCCCTTAAGGCTTTAAAACTTGTATGCTAGGGGAAGGTTTCCACAATCTTATAAGGTGTTTTGTTCTCCTCCCCCAACCAATGTGGGACATCACAAAGATTGTGAAGTAAAAAGGTATTAGATTATCTAAATAGTATTTAGAAGTCTTTGAAGCGACGAAGTTGTGTAGCATTTCAGTGTTGAGAGCTTACTTTTCAAGCACCGTTCGATAATCTTTTTCATAAGTTCATCAGTTTTTGATAATTACCTCACAATGATATTTATCTTTCTTGAATTCATAGTCAAATTCCAAAAACAAAAACAAGCTTTTAAAAACTATTTTTTCACTCGTGGGTGGGGTGGGAGTAGTGCATTCAAACGCCAAAAACTTTTGGGCCCCCTAGTTTTTTGCTTAACATTTTGTTTACTTTGTTGGGATTGATTTATATACATTTTTTTTCCTTTTGCTTTCAACTCGAGGCTTATATATTGGAATAACATTCATTGTTATCACCAACCATTGCGTGGAAATTGAGGTTTATAGTTTTTTGGTTCTGAATTCTTCTTTGATTCTTTGCATTCTTCTTTTTCTTGTCTCGAGTCTAAAAGAATTCTTACTTATGTCTTTTTGGGGGTGGTTCTGAATGCCAGTGGAAGAAGAAGCGTATGAGGAGGCTTAAGAGAAAGCGCCGAAAGATGAGACAGAGGTCGAAGTAGTTGGCAGATATCTGGAAAATGATCAAGCTTTCTCCTGAGACTGTTTATGGTCTCCATTGCTGTCGAGCATGAACTGCTTGAAGTCGTGGAGGTTGTAGTAGTGTTCTTACGAAGATAGTTTTGCACCATTTCCTGTGGTTTTTATTACTTTGGATAAACTTCTATAACTTGACTTGTTTTCCGTTTAAGATGTGTGTTATGACATATATTATGCATGCATTTAATGCTTTTCTTGAACTCGGTTTCAGAAATTTTCAATAGTTAAGCTTAATTTGGCTTGGTATCTGCTGAATATTTTACCTGCGGACATAGGAGGGATTCCTCAGTTAGAAAGATCCAGCTAGCTTACTCTTAAAATGTTATTTTGCTCAGTCTGATGGGTTGAGTATTATGAGTATTATAATTGAGTTGTTAAAGGGACACCGTTATTCTAAGAAGAGTTAGCAGCCATTGGTAGCAGAGGTGCTGCTCACTGCAAAGACAATGCAACTGAGCACTCAACCCTCTCTTGGGAGAGAGGGATTCTCTTAGCTGATCAGTTTGGCATTACACTTAATTACATATAGAGGAGAGGGGCGAAGCTGCGAAACTGAGTGAAAGAAGTGAGAGGAAAATAGCTTTATCGACTGTTGAGAGGATCATAGAGTGCGGTCAGGGAGTTGAATGTTGTTTATCCAAGTGATACCCTACCAAATGGCTCAACTGGGAAGTAGTGTACCGACCACATTAACAGGCTTGGCACTAAGAAAGATCAGGCGTTTTGTATGTTGAACCCTAACAAATGTCTAGACTTGACATATGCATGAGAAAAGAATCTTAAACCACCCACAATTTGTGTTGATAGTGATGTTCGAGAAGATAAATGGCGTTTGAGAAGATCAAGAATTTTGAACAAACTCTAACAAAGAAAAAGATTGCTGTCTCTCGAACATTATTTGAGTCATTACACATTATTTGAGTCATTAATAATTACATTTGGTCGTGTACCTATTATGCGAGGGTGAGTTATTGTTTTTCTAGATGACTTTATCGATTATATTTCAATGTAATATAAGAACCGTAAGCGATGAGACGGGACAGGCTACAAGATAGAGATGAAGAAGAAAGATTGAATATGCGAGAATTCATCTTTCATCTTGACTTGAAACACTTGATTTTGATTTTGAACTATGCTTATCTAGAAATCAGAAATCAACATTCCCCTACCCTACCGTACGTACCTCTTGTCATTGCCATTTTATCGATTGACCTAGATAAGATTCGTACGGAGCTACACGGGAGAAAGTCGCACTTGGTAGCTCATAAGTTTCTAGCTAAATGTCTTTCTTTCTTTCTTTCTTTCAAATACCTGAATTCACCTTCCTTCCCACTAATCTTTTGCTGGACTTGTAGCTTACTGTGAGCTAATGTTAAATTCTCTTCTAAGATCTTCTCACAAGGCAGTAAGAGGAGGAAAAGTTGGGGGATTTGCAGGCTATTTTGGTCATGTTTCACCAAAGGCATTTACTATTTGGGTTTGAAATTTTGAACACCTAGAGTATGCTTATCATCAGAGATGCAACTAATTATGGAAAAGACTAAAATGTCTTATAGTCCTATTTATCACAAGCTTAGATTCTTCCCTTCCCTCACTCTTTCATCTTCAGATTTAACATCCTGCAAAACAGCTTCATTAAAGACAAGATCTAGAGAAGTAAAAAACTCAGTAAGATAGTGATGGGAACCAGAACATTGGCTTAAAGATCTTCCTTCAACTACGATAATATACGTACGAACGGATTGGCCCACAGTAGGGCAAAGAAAAAAACGAATGAGAATAAACGAATTAACTGGAGTCATTTTATGTACACAAAAGCAGCCTAATCAACAAAAACATGTAATCAGTTGAAAATTATGCAACTCAAAAAAAGCAGTATCATCTTGTACAGATTCACAGGCTTCCAGTTCTAAGACAAAGTAAAAAGCTGAAAGAACATATTGCATTTCATAAATGTGGAATTTTTTTGGGGGGGTCATACCAGAAAGTACTTTGTTGTCTTGTTGATGAACTTTCAGCAATGTTTGTTGTTGCTCTAGCAAGTCATCTGAAACTATCACAATGGTAATTCATTTAGGTCATACTGCATAACAAGTCTTTCCACTGTGCTTTGACTTATAACATCCTTGAGTTGCAACTCCCTCAGTACTTTGGTTGCTAGATCTGTCTGTTTCTCGTGGACGATCCCTTCCACGAGCGTGGTATATGTTGTTTCATTGGGCAGGTAACCTTTATTGACCATTGATTCAAAAACCTCCAAGGCCAAATCGGTTCTTCGAGATTTGCAACAACCAAAAATGAGAGAATTGTAATTTTCAGTATCAGGCTTATAGTTATTTTCCTCCATTACACTGAATATTTCAATTGCCTCATCAAGCATGCCCTCCATGCATAACCCCCGGATCAAAGACGAATAGGCAAAAGAATCGGGAGTAAACCCGTACTTCGTCATTTCATAGAGAAGTTGGAATGCTGAATATGTGTTTCCCTTTCGACACAAGCTCGTAATAACAGATTTATAGAATTCTTGAGTAGAGTAATGTTGCTTGTTGCCCAAACTTTGGAGGATGGAGAATGCCTCTTGAACCATTCCCACTTCACAAAGTGTAGCAATGGCATTGTAAGTTCCTTCATTGGGATTACAATGCCTATAGATCATTTGGTCCAAACATTTCACAACAAGATCTACTTTCTTATCTCTACAAAGACGAGCAATTATCGGGTTGTAACTTGAAGCCGTGGGCTTGAACCGTGCTCTAATCATCTCTTCCAAAACCTCAAGGGCATGTTCCGTTCGGCCATGAAAGGCAAGCGAACCAATCAATGTATTGTAAGTGACAGCCGAAGGGGCACGATCATCACCGTCCATTTCAGCTAGAAGCACATTTGCCTCCTCCCATCTCCCTTCATAGCATAGACTCCTTAGCAAGATATTATAACTGACAACATTTGGATTGAATCCCTTTGAAGGCAATTCTCTAAATAACTGGATGGCATCATCTGTCCTACCTTCTTTACACAACCCAGTTAATAAAACATTGTAGCTAACCAAATTAGGCTTCCCACCCTTGGCAATGATCTCATCCAAAAGCTTAACAGCTTCATCCGCTCCTCGTTCCTTGTATGCAGCTTCAAGCAAAAAAGAGTATGTATATGCATTTGGGACAAGCCCCTTCTGGATTAATCTGTCTAAAAGTTGCAAGCTGTGAGTCAAATTCCCATGCATACAAAGACCTCTCACAAGAGAATTATAAGTAACAGTGTTCGTAGGATAACCATATTCCTCCATTTTGTCCACTAATTGCATTGCATAACCAACATTCCCTCTTTTACACAAAGAACTTACCAAAAAGGTATAAGAAGAAGCATCTGGAATGATTCCAGAGCCAATCATCATCTCCATTACCTTAATAGCTCTTCTAAGCTTACTGGCCTTGCAAAGATCATACAAAAGCTGAGTCGCTTGAAACACATCGGGCTTTTGGCCCTTCCCTACCAAGTACTCTAAATTCAAAAAAGCATCATTAAGTCTATGTTCTCTATTCTTTTGATCGCCCTTCCCAATCCTCCAGTTTGGCAGTGTGAAAATGGTGTCCTTAGGAGAAATGGTAACCTGCGTCGATGCTAAAACTTTAGAAAATCCCTTGCTAAGTGAAAGCTTGTGAAGATTTGGGATATGGGAGAAGAAACCATATCCTCTTCTTGTGGTTTCTGGAGATGGATTTGTAATTGGAGACACTGTATTCAGCAGAGTCGCCATTGAAACTCAGTAAACTAAAACCCTAATTCTTCACAGTAATCGCTCCCAAAATCCTCCTTCTTTCTTAGCATTTAAAACCAGAACCAAAACTCTGAAATCAAATTAATCAATAACGTATTCTAAGATCTAGTATCTCTTCTTCAATCGTCTAAAAAACTTGGTAGAATTCAGGATTTTTCAGAACGAACAAAAATGAAAGGAAAAGCAGAGATTGCAAGTACGAAATTCAATCAATCCTCTTCGTTTTCGAAGTGAAATTTGGTAGAGAAAGGAATTATGAACATACACTGGAATTAGAAATCAATCACAGAGGCAATTCTTCTCTTCGTCTCCAAAACGCACTGAATCTTGAAGAGCTGAAATTCCAGTATTTAGTTAGGGATCCAAAATGGATTATCCCTTCTTCTTTTACGCAGGTTTTCCTGGCTCCTCTCTAGACCAGTCCCCTCCACATCTCGTTATTGAAGGCTTTGATTGTCTCTAAATCCCACGCGTGCTTTCTTGCGTGACGAACACGCGCTTCTTTCTTTAAGCTCAAATTTTCCCTCTCACTTCATATTTGTTAAGAAAATGATGTAAAAATGTTAAAAATTATATGTTTTATTTTTAATAATTGTACAATAAATGTATAATTCCATAAAAATCAACATATTTAAACAAAATGATGTTATGTTGTGTTTCCCTACCCTTGATCTTCGTTTTAAAACCTAACTAAATATGATAGGTCGTTCTTTGAAAAATAGTCACTATGAGTCTATAACTATGATGTCTCACATTTGCTGGGAAGAGAACAAAACACCAAAAGTATGGAAACCTTTCCTTAGCAGACGTGTTTTAAAGCTTTGAGGGGACGGCCGAAAGGGAGAGCTCAAAAAGAACAATATCTGCTGGGTTGTTACAAATGGTATCAAAGTCAAACACTAGACTATGAGCTAGCGAGTAGGCTGTTCCCCAAAGGAGTAGACATGAGGCGATGTGTCAGTAAGGACGCTGGCCCCAAAAGGAGGTGGATTTGGTGGCGGTCCTACATCAATTAGAGAAAGGAAGGAGTGTCAACGAGGACACTGGGCTCAGGAAGGGTGATGTCTCCACATTTTAAAGCCTTCAAGGGAAGCTCAAAAGAAAACAATATAAGCCTTAAAGGAAAGCTCAGATAGGACAATATTTGTTAAATGGAGGTCGTTAATCCAACTCATAATGGATCTCGCAATTTGATGATTGAGCTCGCAAATATGATATTCGCAATCAAATTTTATCATGGATTAGAGATCAGAAATTTGAATTTCAAAAAAGATTTGAGAAAAGATTTGAGAGAGACACGAAGCCACCGAGTCATCGGAAAGAAACTTACCTGTCGATCTCTCAGCGGCCGCTCTGATGCGTGTCACCATTTCAACTTCGCCTTATATGCAATTCGAAAACCGAATAGGAAGCACAAGATCGAGAGAGAGAGAGAGAGTTGAGCGCAGTAACAATGGCGAAGAGCAAGGATGATATCACGTACGGCGCCGCTCAAGCGAAGTTATCAGAAGACGAATCACTAAGAGTCGCTTACAAGCACGGCACGCCGCTCGAATCGGGGAAAATTGCGGACGCGGAGACTGTCGATCTTTTTTCTAGTGCGCAAAACATTTCTCAAGATCGTTCTGCCGGACGTTCATCCGCTGCCGCTACTGAATCGATTACCAATCAGTTGCGGCGAGGCGATACTACTAGCGAAGGCGGAACAGGATGCGATACTGCAGATCCTTCAGCCGGCCGTCGTTTAGGTTGAATCGGATCGGTGCGATTGTGGATAGATGCTTCTGTAGTTCGAAATTCTGTTTTCTTTTTGCTTCCTCAAATTTTGGTGCGCGTTTGAGAGTTTTGCATTTGGTTTGTGTGATTTGATCTCGTTTGCGAACCGAGTTGTGGAAATAGTCTCTAATACAAAATCACAGCCACTTTTATTTACTGTCTCTCTCAAATACCATGGAATTTCATAATCCATTCACACTTTCAAGCTGAGCTACTTTTTGAATCCAACCACAATTACCATTTCGGCCTCGAGTCGAACCACTCTCGCCATACTTTTCGGGCTCGAGTCGAACCACTCTCGCCATACTTTTCGGGCTCGAGTCGAACCACTCTCGCCATACTTTTCGGTCTCGAGTCGAACCACTCTCGCCATAGTTTCCAATTTCACAGACGCGTTTTAAAGCCTTGAGGGGAAGCCCGAAATGGAAAGGCCAAAGAGAACAATATCTGCTAGCGGTGGGCTTGGAACGTTACAAATGGTATCAGAGCCAGTCACCAAACGATGTGTCAGCCTTCTCGCTGTTCTCCGAAGGGGGTAGACACGAGGCGGTGTGCCAGTAAGGACGCTGAGCCCCAAAGGAAGGTGGATTTGGGGGTGGTCTCACATCGATTAGAGAAAGAAAAGAGTGACAGCGAGGACGCTGGGCCCCGAAGGAGAGTGAATTGTGATGTCCCACATTGGTTGAGGAGGAAAACAAATCACAATATATAAGGGTGTGGAAACTTTCCCCTAGCATACGCGTTTTAAAGCCTTGAGGGGAAACCCGAAGGGGAAAGCCCAAAGAGGACAATATCTGCTAGTGGTGGATCTGAGTCGTTACAAACAACTATACTCGATCGAGCTCTTGATAAGTAACACTGCTTACTCTTGATAATCAAGCTCAATTAAGTTGCATCATTTCAACTTGGGCTAGCTGGATATCAGTTTATAGCTATGCAGATTCAGATGAGTGAGCAAAAAACATTTAAAATTTCAAGAATTTGGCAGAGAACAAGCTTTGGATTGAACATTAGAAATATAGTTGGATTAAAAACACACACCTAAAACCTGCAATCAATCAATCAATCATAATATCACAAATCTATCTTTCAATCGTAGAAAGCAAGCAAAAGAAAGGGAATCACCTAAACAGAACAGAACAGAACAAAGCTTTCCTTGCACGAACAGGTCTTATATTGCCTTTCATCTAATCATCATAGGAAGATACAAACACAACGTGCAATTTTAGTAAAATACAAATGACAATAACAACAAAAACAAACTGAAAATGTTCCCCATTAGATCTCTCTCTCTATCAACCCCTCTTTTCTTGGGGGCTTTTTAGGCCTACAAACAGCCAACGTCCAATTCCATATTCAAAACAACAACTATCGCCCAATACCCCTTTTTTTTCCCTCTTTCTCTCGTGTGTGCACTGAACTAAAACATAAACACCTTATTACAAGCATAGGTAGATATGAATTATACCCAAAAAAACCATCCCATCCCCTCTCGGGTATCAATAGTGAAGGAATATATGAAATTGGTCTGAGGCCAACCCTGTACATTCTAATACCCATATCATTATCATCTGGATAACTCCCCGTTGTTTCAAGAGCATATTCTATCTAAAGCTCTCCCACTATCGAACCCGATGAACCTCGAAAACTAACCCCAATGTAACAGTGGTGTTGCTTATGAGTGTCGTAACCAAATCAGAAACTTAAATGTTTCAAAAGTAAAGAACATAAAAGAGAATAGTTGTACGAGTAGAATCATTTTTTTTGCACTCCCCCCCTTCTACCCACTGTACTAAAGATGAAAATTTGCAAGGGAGCTATAGAGAGACCTCAAAATGAAGGGGTTTGTTTGTTTGTCCTTCCATATGTGATGATGAGATTATTCTGAAGGCTCCTTCATTGGTAACTATGGATAATGGGCCATGTACTTGCTCCTTGGTCTGATCACAAGGAATCAAAATTGTTGCGAGAACTGTTGTTGAATCCACCAACAGACATTGAGCGTTGGGCAAAATCTATCAACACCTTTCTCTGGTGCTCGTCGGTGTGGGGAAGACTTGCTCGTAATACTTCAACTGGCATTTCTTGACTAATGGCAGCGGCTGCATCTGAGACAGCAGATGCTGCATTCTGTGGAGATTGTCGGAGTAGTGATTGCATGATACTATCATACTTGTTCACACAATACTTTGTGAGAATGCCAAAGAATTCATCGAAAGAAGCCTGCCAAAGAGCTCGATGAGTAATGTTGTAATTACTTGCAGCATGACGATCGGTTAGGAGCTCCGTAGCCCTCTCAAGAACAGATTTCAAAATCAAGGACGCCCCATCTCCAGCAGGGGTCCCTAGAGGGCGAAGTGGAGGTTGCTCTGAGGAACAAACTACAGCAGCAAGACATGCACTCAGAGCTCCAAGATCCATACTATGGGTTCGCGATGAAACAATTTTTGCGAGATCATTAACAGAATCAGCTGCTGCAGGATCAGGACTTCCAAACAAGAATCTCAAGTGACGAAAAATAGCCATACAAACTGTTCGCATAAGCTCGCCTCCTGGCACAAGCAACTGAAGGTACTTACCTAGAAGTTTTCGACCCTTGGGAAGAGAAACTAACCTCAAGAAAACGAAATCATCCTTTGGAGCCAGCCCAACCGCATGACCGTCTTTACTGAGTGGATCAACTATATGAAATGATGCTGCCAGTCCTTCCAACAGGACCTGGCGACGTCTTCTTAACTGAGCACCACCATCTTGGAACTGATTGAACTGCAGGAAACGATCGATATCATCCACATCAAGGAGTAGACATTGACCATCCTCAATTGTAACCCTAGCTGCCAACATAGGCTCCTGTTCAAGGGGCTTCTCAGGAACTTTTTGATCATTGCTTCCACCAACAGTTGAACTCGGAGGATCAACTTCAAGAAGAGGGCGAGGTCTACGAATTGATGAAAATGGAACCCTACCAAGTGCTTCAACCTGAAGAAAAGCATGTGGCTCACTATTGGCACGAGCATGTGGTGGAAGATCCCTTAGTTGATTAGGACAGAAATGATGCCTCAACTTTGCACCCGCAGATTTTCTTGCAAGACAAGCCTGATGGTAGTAGTCATCTACATATGGATCATTACTATGTGTCGCTGCAAGCTGGATTCTAACGATATTCTCTAATTCAAAAGCTTTCATATACTTGGATCTACGGAAAGGCCACCCAAAGTCACTCCTAAAATTATTAGTCTCATAACTCTGATGGGCATAATGTGCAGTCTGTCTACCTTTCTGAGACCTAGGCCTTTGATCCCTCATATCTGGTAGACCAAGCATGGCTTCCAACTTGTTCATTAAGTGAGGTGGGCCTGAAGACGAATGGGAATTGAAAAGATGGGTCTGTAAACCTGGTAGAGAGCCAACAAACGGAGGCTGAACAGGATGCTGCAACCTATGCTGCTGCTGCTGCTGCTGCTGCTGTGGTGGTAACTGTGGAAATCCATTCTGATTGGATAACTGGCGAGGCAATAAATTGCTTAGGTGACTGACATGTTCTCCAGGAAACATGCCGGTTTGGTTCATCCATTGGCTCGATGGTCCACCATTAATAGAGGGGCCAGAACTGTGTTGTGGCATATTTCCTCCAAACCGTGATACAGAATTAAAACCGGCAATCTGAGAGTTTGGAGGAGTGAGATTTGATGGAGATAACGATAATACATGGTGTCCACCAGGAACAAAAGGCATATTTAGATGGCTTGGATGCTGGTTGGGAGAAGCATGAGGAGATATTCCGCTTGAAGGGTATGAAGACTTTGGCACCAAAATTGGCTCACTAGAGAACTGTTGATGGTATTGTTGTGGCTGTGGCTGTGGCTGATCAGGGTATGATGATGTCCTATACAGAGACGTCGATTCAGCAAGGGAAGAAGGATGGGGATGTGATGACCATCTTTTGCCTTCCTGAGCGGTTTCAACATTGAAGCCTTGCTGGGCAATCCAATTAGGGAAACCATCCTCACATGCCCATTCACTATCTGATGAGTAGATGAGAAAAACAAAAAGAAAAGAAACGAAATCGGTCAACTACAGTGACAACCATCACAATGATAACAATCATGAATAAATATGAAATATCCAGTTGGCATTAATCAAATACCATGAATAGCAATAAGAGAAAAACTATGGAAAATGGCTAACCTCTTGCATACATTTATGACATAATAAAACAGCATTTGATCTACAAATGCTCAAAATTAACATTAAGATCACAATGCTGATAGTAAAAAGATCGTAAATTGTGATGAAGAAGAACAAGGAGTGTAAACTTGAATTAAAAATTATATTAAAAAGTAAAGATTTTAAACCCATCTTTAATTTTCCACTTAAACTATATATATATATCTTGCCACAGTGAAATTTTCTGGCTCTGCTCCTAATGGAGGTAGTTTAGAGCACCAAGTCATGTTTGTCTGCAGCATAAAGCCATGTTACTAGACTATCTAGACAAAAAAACTAGTACTTTTAAGTATGAGTACCCAAGTACTATTTTAACATCACAGCCAGTAGATAGACAAAACTCACTTTCTCTCAATAATCCGCCTCCAATAACTCCCCTTGGCCCACTTCCAATGTCGTTTAACTGAAATAACACAAAATAGTAATCAAATATAGATGACAATAGAGAAACAAAGTCATGCAAAGGAGTTTAAAAAATGCCCAATTGAAGGAAAAGAAAAGGCAACTAGCAACTTCAGCTAAAACAATTCTCTCTTTAGTTGTTCAACGTGGACATATCATAAGCAAAATTGGTCTTCTTAGTTTTCTCCTTAACGGATTTCTTCAGAATTTCTACAAGATGTATTTGTAGGAAAATGCAAGCCATTAATTATGTTCCTCCAACATAAAAAACAACCCTGGTAGTAAATCACTGGAAAAAAGCCTGATTTGAAATTCCAAACTGAACTCTTAAATTTTTTTCATCTTAGATGGCAACTGAGAGTCCAGACTCCATGCTTTGATAATTTGAGA